ACGCAACGGAGAAGTTCGTGCCCCGGGAGGTCGAGATAGTATGTGCTATGCTCGTCAAGGATTGTGATGTGAACCCTGCTCACATTCATGCGCTAGAACAATCTCGTGTCACAAGCTGTGCATGCAAGTGTACGTCGGTTACATTTACGCTCCAGCGACGCTCTAAGCTGATGATATGGAGCAGTTCTCCCGAAGGGCTCCTACGGACGCCCAACTTACTGGGATCCCGGACCCTTCCACCGGCAAGATTGCCGCCGTTGAGTTGGCTTACAACCGCGGTAGCGACACCGTCATACTGTCCGAGCAATGTGCCCGCATGTTAGAGTACCCAGGCCGAATGTCAGTGTGTACAACGTCGTCCGCATGATGGGGAACTTATAAGTCTTTAGCCTTGATAACTCTCAAAGGGAGGACCTCGCCCTGATCGGATCGCAGTTCTGGCTGCTCGGCATATCTACCTTCGGCGTAAGTAGTATCCTCATGCCATTCTCTCTATGTCATACTCACCTCCGCCGTATAGATTCTCTACAACTCTATCCCGCACACGTGAGTAGGGTCCGAGCTGGCATGCGCACGTATCATTTTGACGCGACTTGCATAGCTGGGCAGTCGTCTTTGCTCGGGTGATGCAAACGGCATGGGCGACTTACACTATCTGGCGCACGACAGACGTTAGGTTCCGATACGACACGCTCATAGTAGCGAACGGAACGCCTTGCCATTTTGATCTGATGCCCTCGTACTTCAATACCCGTCTGGCTCTCCAGGTGAGAAGGCATTGTTCGGTGCTATGTACCAACCCTCCGACGCTGACACCGTCTTCTAGATACCTGAGCTAGTGCTCAATGTAACCGCGCTGCTGTCCACGTCGTTCCTGGCATGGTACATCGTAAAGGTGAGTCTCTGCCCACCCCACCACCTTACTGAACGCTAACTGATCCTCCTCTTCAGGGCTACAGCTCCGCGACCATCCGTCGTGTGGGCCCGCCCGCCCACGTCATGCGGCTGTACAAGGTGAGAGTCACTCCAGTAACTTGCAACTAATTTGCCAACAATTGATCGCGCGATTGCAGTTCTTCCTGATCGACTCGATGTTCCTGCAGCTCTCGCTGTTCTTCACCGTCACGGCCATCAGCCTCTGGATCGACCAGTTGCGCACGAGCGAGATCGCGGTGCTCTCCCAGCGCTCGCCGCTCTACTACGCGCTGTTCATATTCACGATCGCGGTGCGTCCCTCCTATCCCTGTCTACGCGACCAACCGAGACTAAATAGCCGGTCTGTGATTGCAACAGACCATCATCCCGTGGATCGTCATGGTAAGCTCCGCACCGCACCCTCTCCAGATGACATCGGTGCTAAAGTAGCCATGGTGCTATGCAGGGCTGGTTCTCTGTCCGGCGCGAGATGCCGCTGCTCATCGCGGCGTTCCTCGCGCTGAACGTGGCCTACATCGTCGGCTGGAGCGCGATGTTCCGCGCGGAGGTGTACCTGTGGACGTTCATCGAGTGGCCGTTCTTCGGCTGCACGACCATCGTCTCCTTCATCGTCCTCCTCGGCGCGCTCGTCTTTGGCGTCATCTGCTGGACCGGGTTCAACAAGGGCCTCGCTCACTACCGTGCGTCATTCACCTCTTCTCTCGCGATGTTTGTTGTTGGTTGATATACGCTGTAGTGCACGTCGAGGCCGTGCTGACCGAGTCCGACTTCGACGCGGACGTGTTCACGAACGATACCGAGAGCGGGTCGAGCAAAGCCTCGAGTCCGATCATCCGCTGCCCAAGCGCGCTTTCGGACCCGTCCCCCGAAGGTATATCCGCGATCAAGAAGGATGGCAACTGGGACTTCGCCAATGCAGACGTCGAACGGCCGAGGATCTACATGGTCGATTTTGACGAGACGAAGGCCCCTACGGACACAATGACGAGATGACGGATGGTTGGAGTCTGTGTTATTGTGTGCCCTAGTGTATTCGTAGGCGCTGTGAGTCGTGTTCGTGTCTGGACGATGAGCATGGACAGGCGTGTGTTTGTAACAACATCGGAGAGTCGTCGTTATGTAGCGTTCATGTCATATGCTGCTATTGTCCGTCGTGTGTCAAGGTGTCCTCCGGGTCGTACAGTAGTCGGTTAGATTTGGTACGGACGGGCGTTCGTGATGTCCTCGACGTGCTTCATGCCCACGCAACCTCCGCCCTTGATGATGCACTTCGCCAGCTCCGTGGCCACATCCAATCCTTCGAAGTACGCTCCATGAAGGAACCCTGCCCGTGACATCGCATCCTTCGCATCAGTACAACGCGGCCGTATGGGCCAAGGAGGGCCAACGCACCAAAATACTTCTGGCTCGTCGCCTCGCCCGCGAACCACAGCCGCTCTCCGACGTTCGCGCGCAGGTTCTCGTGGTGCTCGCTGAAGAACGACGAGGGCCAGTTCGAGTACGAGCCGCGGAAGAGCGGGTCGCTGTGCCAGCGCGCGAAGTGGAACGCCACGGGCTCCGGCACGGTCGCGTTCGGGAACATCACGCGCAGCACGCCGAGCACCTCCTCTTGCACCTGCGCGTCGGGCAGCGCTTCGATGCGGACCGAGTAGTCGCCCTGTATGTATACGCGTGAGCAGCGTTCTGTGGGGTGAGATAGGTAAGAGAGAGGGCGCACGGTGACGGTGACGAAGACGATCCCGGATCCGGGAAAGAACTTCTCGTGGTCCAAGCTCTGCCAGACGGGGTACCGTCCTCGCTCCGGGTCGGCGTAGAGGCCCATCTGGAAGGAAGGGTGATGTCAGATGCGCAGCGGCACTTAGTTCGACGTTTCGCCCGCCTCAGTGTCAAACCAGAACTTCTTCGGGAACTGTAGGAAGATCTTGGTGTACGTGGCCTAAGATAGTTCGAGCAGCGCTGTTAGAGGAAGTCGAGAACGCGAAGTCGGCTGATGAAATACCATGACCATGCTCTGGATAGCTTCCTGCTTCCAGTCGGGCAGCGCGGGTTCGAAGACCACGTCGTCGTGTTGCAGCACACCCAAGCTGAACGTGCAGAGCGCGTAGTCTGCATGCAGCGTCTCCCCGCTAGTCAGCTGGACGGTGACTCCGGATGGTGAGTGATGAATCTTCTTGACGGTCGAATTCAGGCGAAGCTGATGCGGCTGCAGGAACTCTGCCGCTTCGGCTTCGAGGAAGTGCTTGAAGCCGCGCTGGTCCAGTGACATCTGGTTGTCGTCCCCGAAGCCGCCGACATCGGTGTTGTACGTGAAGTTGTTTCCCTGAGGATCAAAGCTGTCAGATAGGCTCTGGCCCGACGGAACGCCGGGGGGCTGGTCGGCGTACCCAGGAGGACGCGATCCAGGAGGACTGCTCCGGGGTCTGCGCGTACTCCCAGTCGAACTGGTAGTATTCGCTCGCCATCGCCTGGGCAGTCTGCGACTTCGCGCCGATAAGGGAGTATCCGGTGCGTGCCGTACCGTCGACGAGCTGTTTGTCCACTCGAGCGCCTGCCGCAATGGTCAGGTTGGTGTATGCGTCGCTGGACGCGTCAAAAACGTCGTCGAAATTGGAAGGGCCCTTGGCATCGTAGGTCGCTACCACGAGTCGGTTCAGTATCGTGAGCTCGCCACAGCCTGCGGATACACTCACAGATGCTGCCGAACCAATCGTTGAATTGCGTGCGCAGTTTGTGCTTCTGAGCTAACGTCCAGATGGGGTTGGCGGGGCCGCCCTCAGTTTGTGTACCCTGTACCCAGTTAGCACCTACATTGTTACACAGATATCACCGCTGTCAACAGAGTTTAGGCCTAAGCAAATTGGTGAATGAACGTACCCAGCTCGAGGGTGACTTGCTTCCCCGGGGCACCGAAGGTTGTCGGTGTCAATCGTCCGCCTAACCCGCCTGCAGTCATGTGTTAGAGTTGATATCTTGTGTGTAGTTCGCCATTGACTTCTTGAGAAGCGCACTCACCTCGAGCCTCAACGATAGTGAAGTTGTTTATGCCTTTGGCATGGAGCGTGCGCGCAGCGATAACGCCCGCGACACCACCGCCCAAAATCAGAACTGATGCATCCTTCTTCTGCGCCCGGCTCTCCACCGAAATAGCCGAAGATCCAGGCAGCGCGAGGAGGAACAAGTATATCCCCAGGAACCACGGTCGCAGTTGGGCCATTGCAGCAAGTCGTGTCTAGCAGCACAGTGGCGAGAGGCGTTGGCGGCACGAGCAGGAGTTACGTAGACCCGAATTGCCCGTGTGACCCAGAAGCGGGAAGTCAACAAGTCTCCGGGATGGGCTCAGAGATCAATGCTCGAGAGGAGATAAGGCCCATCGGCTAGGGTATATATACGATATCTGCAGTCTTGCTCCGCGCGGCCACCGCCTGCGCCGGCCATTGGCATCCCATACGTCTCAGGCCCTGAGGTCCGGGCATGGTGGGTACAGGTGTTAACGCTGGCGCGACGCGATTTCCATTAACACCGGTGGCGGATAGGCCGCACTACGTCTGCAAGACGTTCCCCGTGCATCGCCAGAACGCGTATAGGCTCATAATGGCAAATGTACTGCGACCCTCGTGCCATCAAGCAGCCTGGATGAAGTATTGAAAGCCGATCGACAGCACCCAGGAAGGAAGAAAGACGTACACAGCGATACCGTGACAGGGTCCATTCAGCTGTACGTCCGCCTCCTCCCGGCGGCGCCAGGCAACTGCGGTTTGGGCAATCTGTCTGCCCCGTCCATCGGAAGCTGATACAATTCTGACCGTGAACCACATAGCGTGCACAAGCTAACGTCAGTCGGTCCAATTATCCGCTTCTCAGTCTGGCAGATGGTGGTCGGGTGACAAGAAGCATCACAGGCCCAGCGGTAGGCTCCCCAGCCAGCCTCTACTTCCGGGCGGATCGAGCGCGCCCAGTCCGACGGTAACACAACCTCCAAAGACTCTCAAACTGCGGAATCAGGTCTGTATACTCATACTACATGTTAACACATATTCCCACCTGTGCCCATGATGGTCAAAAAGCTCTCTGTCGGGGAGTCGAACCCCGCTTTCGCGCGGCCATAAACAATGACAGGCGCGTGTACTAACCGATATACTAACAGAGATTGATGATTGCTATGATAATGCAATATATATCAGTTATCCATAACTTCATGCATGCCGATTAGGGCACTACAAATCAATGGACACGATGCAACGCGATCCCCCAGCTGTACTGACCGATGCCTTAAGATCTATGTTATTGTTTGTGAGTGAGTACCTACAGCCCCCGTACCTCGTCAGGTGTATATAAACCGCCGTGACATGTGCCCCGGGGGCCCAATCGAGATTCACACATGTCGTCGAGACTTCGATAAGCTTGCAAAATGATTGAAATTCGAGCTATCGATGTGTCACAGGTGGCCTGAATCTGATCTAGGAACCCTCAACGACCCCGTCGTATTCCCTCCGAGTGCAGTTGCCCCGGATCCTCTACGTACACTTGGGCGGAACAGCCTGAAGAGCCCAATAAGCACCGCCACCAGTACCCGGCATGGACATCAACAAGGACCTCCTCGAGCTCTCACACGTCGTATACACCTACCCGGCGATCGACAACCACGCACACGCCTTTCTCCGCGAGGAGTTCAAGGATTCCGTCCCCTTCGAGGGCCTGATCTCCGAGGCGAGCAGCGAGCAAACTCTGCGAGATGCGACGCACACCATGGCGTGCTACCGCGCGACCGCACAGCTCGCGAAGCTCTTCGGGCTGGGGCCCGGTGCGGACTGGGAGACGGTGAAGCGCTATAGGGGGCAAGTGCCTTACGAGCATCTGTGCAGGACATGCATGCAGCCGACGCGCATCCAGTGCATCCTCATCGACGACGGACTCGGGTCCGCGAGCAAGCTGTACGCGTATCGGTGGCACGACCAGTTCACCGCGAGCCCGACGAAACGCATCGTGCGCGTCGAAGCCCTCGCCGAGGTGCACCCTCTTGTGGCTACTCTCCGTCTATATGCACTTACGAAAGGCGTCCCCCTCAGGAAATCCTCAAACGCGCGATCGAGGCGCAGATCGAGCAGAAGGAGCTCTCGCCGTCCGCGCTGCTCGTGCGCTTCATCATCGGCCTCGACGCTGCGCTGCGGACCACCGCCGCGGACGGCGAGGTGGCGGGGTTCAAGTCGATCGTGTGCTATCGCACCGGGCTCGACGTGAACGTCGTGACCGACATCCCGGACGACGCGGCGGCGCACCAGGTTTTGACGGGGCTAAGCCTGATTTACGCGACGAAGCAGGTGCTTCGCCTCGCGAGCAAGCCGATCAACGACTATATTGTGAACAGCGTCATGCGCGTCGCCGGCGAGGCCGGCAAGCCAGGTTCGTTCGTCCCATACGGTCGTGTATCGGGCTGCGTTTTGCGCTGACCGCATTTCGTTGACTCCAGTGCAATTTCACACTGGGTTGGGGGACAACGACATCACCTTGTCCCTATCCTCCCCCTCGCATCTGCAGCCCCTCATCAAAGCGTACCCCAACACGAAAGTCGTCCTCCTCCACTCCAGCTATCCATACACGAAGGAGGCCGGGTACCTCACGGCGGTGTACGAGAACGTGTACCTCGACTTTGGGGAGATCTTCCCCTTCCTCAGCCCGGACGGGCAGCGACAGGTGATTCGCCAGGTGCTCGAGCTCGCGCCGACGAATAAGATCATGTGGTCTAGTGAGTACATGCCTTTCGTTAGTAGGTTGCGTTCGCGTTGACTAGGTGCGGTAGCGGACGGGCATTATTGGCCCGAGTCATATTATCTGGGGTCCTTGCAAGCTCGACAAGCGCTGTTTGAGGTAGGGCGTCCTCTCGTGTCCCGAGTAACCAGACGTACCGACCGAACCGTACATCTCTCTAGGTACTGGAGAGCTCAGTGCGCAAGTCGGAGCTGACTGTCGCGCAAGCGATCGGCATCGCCAAGCGCGCGTTCTTCGAGAACGCAAACAGGATCTACAACCTCGGATTGGAGCCTCAATTGGCGTAGCATATGGTGAGGACGGTGCCGAGCGTCATCTGTACTATACCCAGGATGCGAGGTGGGCTACGTATGTACGATGTTGTAGGAATACAAACTACTCCGCCTCTTCGTCTTCGTCTTCCTCGTCGACGATATCCAGGCCTTGTTCTCTTGCGAGCTGCAACGCGCGCGCTTCCCTGTCCCGCGCAAACTCGACAAGCGAGCGTAGTATATCCCTCTGACCTGCACGGATCGCAAAGAGTCAGCATTCTTCTGATACCCCCGACGAAAGGCGTACACTCACCCTCGAGATAATGCTCGAGCATGTCCACGACCTCTTTCCTCATCTCCGCAGCATTGGCAGGCGGGAACGGCGGGAGCCTATCGTACAAGCTCTGCGCCATCTCCGCGAGCATGTCCGCCGCGCACAGCTCGTCCTCGATCGCCGTATCGCCCTCGTCTTCGTCGTCCCCGTTCTGCTGCTTTATCGCGGCGAGGACGGCTTCCCAGACAGGCTCCGCCCCGCGCGCGTTTCGCCCGACTTCCCACCTCCGCGGGCCATCGGAAGAGGGGGACGAGGACGAGGAGGCGGAAGAAGAGGGACCGCCGCCGAGTTTGAGGATAATGGTGTCGTCAGGGTTGTGCGGGAGGGAGAAGCCGTAGCCGAGGATGAACTCCGAGTTCGGCTTGGGGCCGTAGTTGTTGAGCAGCTCAGATCCGCGAGTGGATGGCGTGTGGATCACGAGTGAGATCGATAGCTCAGAGTCGGGACCGCTGGATGGTGTGGGCGTCGAGGAGCTGGTGGAATGGTCGGAGACGACCCAGGATACGGGGTGCGCGCGAGCGTGGTTAAGAGCATCGATTCCGGGAAGGAGGACCGGGTACGATGAGGGTGTGCTCTGGAGCGAGGGCGATTTTGAGAGCAATGTGCTGGGGAAGGCACGAGAGGAGAGGTAGGTCGATGCCGTGAGATACCGTTCCCTACGCGAGTCGTCTATTAGGTGGTCATCGTGCGGAACAGAACGTCACACATACCAGGTAAACGCTTCCGCCCACTCTGGGTGTGCGGAGCTGACCGCCGCTTTGCACTGGGTCCATTCTGTCTCCCAGTCTCGCCGCCTGTCCAGCGTCGCGCCATACAAGTTCGAGCCTCTGAACACGTCGAGCTCAGCAGGTGTGAAGTGCAGAGGGGTGCGGAGCTTGTCTGGGGATGGAAGTGTGTCGATATACGGCCCATGCTTCAGTACATCCCTTGCATGTGCCCGAGAGAGAACATAAGTCCTTTAACCTGTGATAGTTCGTGATGCGGTCGTACTCACCGCGACCGGTCAGCAATCCAGTGCATGCAGATATACGTGCATATCAGCTGTCGTTCGCTCAGCTTCCCAAGGACATCCTCGTTTCCGTGGAGCGTCTTCTCGAGGGCCGTCTTTGACCACTCCGGCGTAATCGCGAGGGAGAACGGAATCGACATGACCGTTGCGTCGGCGGGAATGTCGCTAGCTGCTATTACATTGAAGCCAGATGCCGCTGGTCATGGGAGTGGGTCTTTTCTTCAGCTTGGTACATGTCTGGACGCGAGGGGCGCGGTGGCAAGCTCACTTTGCTCGAAATGCGCGTCGGGGTGGACATGCCCACCGTTGTCGCGCAACCAGCACTTGAACGACGCGATATTATGCGGTTCGTGTTTTTCAAAGTTCATGGTGAACCTATGTAAGTCGCAGGAGTGCCCGTCAAGACGTTTTACACGAGTTGATGCGGGTCAAGGGATATCCAAGAAAGTGGCAGGAGCTGGGAGTGTCGAACATTATGTATATTCGTGCTCGGTACCTATGCTAATCTTATCTGATTTGAGGATACCTCGGGGAGCGTGGTATCTTATCAGATTGTGCTTTCTAACCACTCTCCTCCAAGTCATTGCGAACGCCGCATCCGCCTCCAGGCCCTCTCGACGCCCTCCCTCCTCGACCTGACGTTGTGTGCGCGTCATGCCCATCTCGGCTGCCACCCTCGAGAGCGCGATCCGCGCGGCGATGCCGGTTACCCACCTCGAGATTGAGGATACCTCGAACGGTTGTGGGGAGAACTATGCGGTCTTCGTGGTGAGCGAGGTGCGTAGCGTCAGGTGGTCAACTGCCCAGCATTTCTTGGTGGGATGACAAAAGTGGATGCTGAACGCGGAACACACTTGCGTCGTGTGATAGGCCTTCGAGGGAAAGAACACGCTCGCGAGGCATAGGTTCAGTAAGTCTGGGTCGCAGCCTTTCGTACCTGAGACGTGACACTGACTCTTGTACCCCGGAAAGTTAACGAAGTGCTAAAGAACGAGATAGCGCAGATGCACGCGTTTTCACAGGTTGGTCAAGCTGTCCAGTGGGAGAAGGCCCGACGTCGGAGCAACAGAACTGACCTGTCGACCACAGAAAACGCTCACCCCAACACAGTACCAAGCCTATCTCGCGAAGCAAGCTGCATAGCACCACCAGTTGGAGGGTGTCGTTTTTGTTGAGAGTCAGACTCCCGAGTCCTATGTAGGGATCGAGCCCAGCGGTGATCCGGAGTGTACGACCAGTGTATTATCGACCTGTAGAATCGGCGAGCGGAGACGCGTTGATAAGCCAGCATTTATGCCATATCTGTCAAGTATGTATCCCCCAGCAACAAGATACGGTGCAGCAGTTGAGCAGCAGGACGTAGTGTGGTAAGCGAGTATCGTTCACGACGAACAAAGTTGAAGGTTCGGGGTCTGGCTTGAATCTAGTTGACCGTCGTAGGCTCGAAGATCTTATCTTATCTCCTTCCCGTCACCTGAAAGCTCACGCCGACGCTCTCCAGTCTCAAGATCTCAACCATCACCTTTAAGTACTTGCCTGCAGGCATTCCGTACTGTCCAGGATATGCCTGACCCGTAAATACTGCAAAACTGGAGTCTTCAACTGAGTATTGTCTTGGGCTCGCAAGCGCTCTCGTCAACACCGGCGATGCGCGGAAACGCAAGATCGACACGTCTCCACCAAAAGGTGCGTATCTATGTAGAAGTACTAGGATGCAAGAGCCGGCGTAGAGGCCGGTCGGAAATCAACGCAGCGTATTGTCAGCCCCAGTGGCTTTGCTAAACGTT